GTCCATACTAGTCCACCAGTAATCACTGAGTAGTACCCATTGCTGTTACCATCACAAAAGAGCCAAACACAAATATTATGCAGCTCCTGGTGAAACAGCAAAGTGCCACTTACAGTCTCGCCAAACGGGTAACACCTGAGTCCGATTAAGCCTCTGCATCCAGCTGCCAATTTGCAGCTGAACAAAGGAATGTTGAAATTCACCGTGAAATTGCAATCATCAAAATCCAGAATGTGGGATACTGCTGATTAAATGGACTGGTTCTTGTAAAAAGTGAAAAGCAAGAAAAGGGAACAAAAGGGGCTGGAGGATAATCCTATGTAATAAAAGCAATTTAAAAGACATCAGTTTTTAAAATTAGATGTGTCTAAGGAAGCTCACTCGAATCAAAGCCTCAAGAAGTGCAAAGAAGTAATTACTGCCTATTAGTATTGGAGGTACAGAGCAATAATGGGGGTGGGGAACATGGTAAAGCCTTTGGATATGAGTGGAAAATTAATTTATCTTATAATTCACTAAGTTATATGTTTGCTTTGTGTGGTTTTCTATACCTTGTGTTTTATTTTACAATAAAAAAGGTAAAAAACTATTTCCCAGGAGTTTGGGCAAATAGATCACAAAAAGCCTAGAAAGGCCTAGTGATGTGTAATACATGGTACAGAAACATCACACATCACTCACTGATGACTCTGAGTATGTAACTATGTATACACTGATTACCTATGACTCTGCTTTAGATTCTGGCTGTGGTCTCAAGCCCAACTTCTTCAGTAAATTTCATATCCCCTGGCTTAGACAAAGGATGGAGAAATCAGTTGAGCATGCATATTAATTCCTCTGTTTGATATCATGTTTTGGTGATATTTTTCACTAGCAAAAGGTTTACTGAGCAGCTACTATGGGCTGGGGCCCTGGCCTAGGTATTTAAAACAGGAAGAGGGGATTGGAATGGTTTTTCCAACCAGAGGGCATAAAGTACGTTGCAAAGTGAGATTTGTTTCCCCCCATTTCATACAAATTTAATTGCGCTGACATGTTCCCTAATTCTCAACATGGAACCTCTTGACTTCCATGAACTTCAGAAAAATACTGGGGTTAAAGGGCCTTGAGTTTATTTTAACCTAAGAAGTCAAAGGGCAGAATGAATTTATGCCCTGATAATGCTGAACAAGTCTTTAGTTGACAATCAAATCATCCCTCTCTCTCTTTTTCTGTTTCATTGTTTTGTGTTTTGCTTTTGAATAATATTAGATAGTTCAAAGCATGATGCCTGTTATTTCTCAGTAAAAAGCAGTATTATCGTTTTGTAATACAAATATTGAATCGGTATGCTGGACACCTAAAACTCATATAATGCTATATGTCAATATACCTCAATTTAAAAAACTGAAGAGAAGTATTTCCTTGTAGTAAGTAAGATGAGTGTAAGGATGAATTAACTTTATTCAGCAACTAATAATACATTTCTTCATATTCTGGATTGGCTGTATGTCTACATCTTCATTTTCAGAGCAAGCCTCTCAAGTAGTTGTTATAAACACTCCCACTTTGCAGATGTCAAAACAGAAGTGCCAATGGTTGTGATTTGCCTGAGGACATCCCCCAAATTAGGTGGTGGAGCTGAAGTTTGAGCCAAGGCTTCTGTCTCAGGGTCCCACGTTTGTCCTTCCGAACAGATCGCTAAGGGGCCAATTCGATTCCAGCATCCTTGTCTTGTGTTTACCCAGAGGCTGATTGCCTTTTAAAATTCTAGATCCTATTAAAATGCCAAAGGAAGGGGAGCTCTCTTTTTCCTTCTCCTCAGCTTTTTCTCCAGGGAAGGGACGAGGATTTAGTAAACTAATGCTTTTCCATTGAGTTAGTTTCTTTAACTTTAATTTCCTTTAATCTCTGAGCTTTAGACTTATTAGTGATTGAGATGAACTCAACAGGAATTTCCAGACACCACGATCCATCTATGGCAGTTTTCCAGTTGACCGTTCAACCCGATGAAATTCAATCTGTCAGGGCAAGCAAAACGAAGAATGGCAGTAAGAGGAGGTGAAGATAAGGAAATGATTCAGAAGAACAGCCGATTTAGCAAGTCTTCTTCTTCCCCTGTTTTATTTCCTTCAGTGCAAAAAATTAGCCATGATCAAGGTCCTTGCCTCTGTTCATCTAGCACGCCCCTGGAGAGCGGACAGGGTTAAACTATTTACAGAGAGAACTTCTGCCTTTACTTGATGCTGAGGACAAATAAACAATCAGCTATGCAAATACCACAAGCAGGGGAACTGTTAGCTACACAAGTACTAATTACTCAAGTATTTACTACAGCAACAGAGGCATCAGCGTGCTAATTGGGCATTGTTGGGGAACACTTGAATTTGGGGATAATTTTAATCCTCCCTTTCCTAAAACCCCTTACCCTCTTAAATAATCTTTGTTCGTTTTCACCAGCCAGAAAAATCGAAGCTATCAAAATATAGGCTCAAGCAGGATAGCAAGCAAAGCGGGAGGAACGGGAGAAGGAGGTGAGAAGGAGAAAGATATACTCCAACTCAACCCCATTGATGATGGCACATGGTACACAGGCGACTTTCTGTGCACGGGGACTAGGGTGCATTTTTCCTTAGTGCATCTACAACTGAAATGCACCGTTCATCCACTTCTTCAGGCTCTGAATTGTTCTGAATTAATATCAGAAGCAGAGAGGGCACGTTTCCATTCTAACTCTCCAACTTTCATCCACTTCCTCTCTCTCCTTTCCTCCTGTCAGCTCCCACTATGGGTAAGATAATCCCATGACTCAAAACAAGTGTATCCTTAGGACATTCTGGTCTGGGTGAGGTTTTTTTTTCCCTTGAAATTATAAGTGAATTTAACTTGAGTAAGAGAAGCTTTTTGAAAATAAATATAAAAGTAAGAACTTAGCAGTGTAAAACTAGAAATGCTGAGGTTAAAATTAGCCAGTGACAGCACCTTTCTATTAATAACTGTGCCTGCCTAGATGGCCAAGGTTCTTCAGAGGGGCTCCAAGGGCATTACAAGGATCAGCCCATTGCGTGGTCAGAAAGTTCACTCATGAGCTGTGCTTTCTCAGTGGGAACTTCTGAATTCTCAAAGGACTCTAAATCACAATGTAAATGCTTCAGGTGTTCGTAGGTAATTGTTAAATGCAAAGGCAAATTCTAAGTTGGAAAGAAATACATTAAAAGTTTTGAATTTAAAAGTTAATTTACCCTTTAAGAAAACTCAAATGAGGGCACCTGGAAGGCTCAGCCAGTTGAGCATCTGACTCTTGGTTTTGGCTCAGGTCATGATCTCATGAGTCCTGAGATTGAGCCCCGCATTGGGCTCTGTGCTCAGCAGGGAGTCTGCTTGAAGATTCTCTTCCTCTGCCCCTCCCCCCACTTGCACGCTTGTATGCAGACTCTCAGTCTCTCAAATAAATAAATCCTTAAAAAAAAGAAAACTCAAATGAAAACTCCCTGCCTCTGAAGTGGTTAGTCACTGAGAGTAGGTTTTCAGACAGCCTTTGGAGAAAACAACAGAACACCTCCACTTTGATTCACTTCACCCCTAATAATTTTACGTGATGTTCAAATATATGAGAATGTATAGCGGTATAGAGGCACCAGGGTGGTCAACTCTAAGAAGTCTTGCCAGCCAGGAAGTCTAGACTGGCTCCTCATATCATTCATGCCCAAGGAAAGGCACGGGAGAAGTCTCAGAATCAACAGGAACGTTCCTCTGTGACCATCAGTGAGGTACAGTTACAAAAATTTAGCATTAGGAGGATTAACAAAGCATCCGGTATTAGATTTTAGAAAGTGATGGAGATGGTGAGTAGCTAGTTAGGACTTAAGAATCAGTGAAAGGACCAAATGACCAAAATACTCATTTTAATTAGTAAACGAAATAGGCTTCATTTATACCATGGAATCCAAAGTCATCAATTGAAAAAAAATAAAATAAAGAATGGCACTCCCATGACATAGAAAGGGAGACAAATTTACTGACAAGGATGTCACTTCATAGATGATTTTGAACAAGGGAAATTATAGAACAGAATGTGTGTGTGTGTGCGTGTGTGAGAGAGAGAGAGAGGTTTTATTGTGAGAGAGGTTTTATTCACACTCAAGGGAATGTAAAGTCATTCTTCTAGAAAAAAAAAAAAAATCCTCAGAGCTAATGACCATGGGTAACCATGTTGACAGTTAGTTGTCATGAGCGACTTCAAGTTCCAAGGGAGTCTTTCTAATGTTATTCTGGGATTTTTGATTCATATCAAATGTGGAGAATTTCAAATTATGAGTGAGTGTAATCTCTTTATTATATCCTAGAATTGAGAAGATTTTTAGATTTTATGTGAGCATACACATGTATTTGATATAAATCAAAGTCTGCCAGTTCAACTTCTGTCTTGTGCTTCCCTCTTTGGTGGACCAGTGAATAATGGAACAGTGATGATAAAATAATCATGATCATGGAAAACAAAGTCAGAGATGTTGGTTATTATGACACATCTAAAGATAAAGGCAAACCATACACTGGCACAGATAATCCATTAACTGTGTCCATTCAAATTATCCATGTGGACTACAACACCAAGGTTGTTGCTAGGAAGTGTCAGGAGTTACAGAGATGACCATAGTTACTGACATTACCATGTGTCCTCATCAGCAAGATCAACTGCAGGAGTCCATTCAAAACATGCCATGAAAATTCTTTTGCTTCCATAATTCTTGAGTCATACTTAGCAAGTGATTGTGTGTGAAGTTCTTAAATGGAGAACTGTTGTATTTTTGTTCAGTGAATACCTGACTAATTGCAGAAGAACACTTACTTCAGTGGCTGCTGGAGAGAAAAGAAAGAATTCTGCCCAAGAGCACTGATAGAAATCTTCCGAAAATCTATTCCAGAAATGGAAAATGGCGCCCTTCATTAAGGAGTTCCACCAGCCTTCCTCTCTGACTTAGGTTGACACCACCTTCTTCTGTTTCTCTGTTTATTCCTAGAATGCAGTCCCAACAGTACGTGCAGCCGCGTCGAAAATTTGCAGCTGCCTTCCTGGCATTCATTTTCATCTTGGCAGCTGTGGACACTGCTGAAGCAGGGAAGAAAGAGAAGCCAGGTAAGCTGTAGGGTTATGAAGGCAAGACTGTTCATGGATTAATGTCCATCTAATCCAAACTGCCTGATTTTTGTCCTCCCTCCCTCCCTCCCTCCCTCCTTCCTTCTTTCCTTCCTCCCTCCTTCCCTCCCTCTCTCCCTCCCTCTCTCCTTTCCTTTGTTCCTTCCTTAGAAGAACCTAAGTGACATCCCCCTGATCCCCCCACCATAAGTCCTAAAATACAGATGATGATGATTAACATAATGATCATATTAGTAGCTACTATGTACAGAACACTGATGAGCAAGCAGGTGTTTTACTTATGTTGAGTCTCTTCCTCAAAAAAGAGTCCTGCAGGGAAATTTTGTTTTGTCTCATATTAACAAAGGGGGAAACTGAAGCTCAGAGCGATACAGCCGCTTTTCTATGTCACTCCCGTGTCATAAATAGTAGGCTGTGGAGCTGGGAGTCTGTTTATGTCTGTGATCCACCACATTTAGCTTATGTTATTCCATCTCCAAGACAGAGAAAGGAACATTGACTTGCAATGAAATGCTAATCTGACAACCATTACTTCTAAAAGAACGTTGCCTTATTTTTCATGTTTCACTGTTTTTGAACATCTTTAACAGAAGTGTTTGCTTCTAAAAGGGGATGTCATTAGATCCCTTATACAGTCCCTAGCACGTAGAGTTAAATTAATATGAGTTCTGTCTCCTTCAGTTTTCCTTCTCCCTTCTCTTGATCATTCACCGACTCAGTCATTTGGCTAACGTGTCAAGGTGCTACGATTCACTGGACAGTGAAGACAGAGGTCAAAAGCACAGACCCCACAATTACGGTGCTCTGGCGTGAACTTTGTTATAGAAATCAGGATTTCCCAGAGGTTGACTGCGGTTCCTTTCTTCTTTCCAGAAAAAAAAGTGAAGAAGTCTGACTGTGGGGAATGGCAGTGGAGTGTGTGCGTGCCCACCAGTGGGGACTGTGGCCTGGGCACCCGGGAGGGCACCCGGACCGGAGCCGAGTGTAAGCAAACCATGAAGACCCAGAGATGTAAGATCCCCTGCAACTGGAAAAAGCAATTTGGAGGTAAGTCCCACCACTACTGTCCTGTTAATTTAATCTTCCACTCTGGGATAATGCTTGCATTCTTCCACCAGTTACCTTTTTGAGCTTGACTACCATTTATTTTAAATAAGTTGATTTTTATCAGATCGCAAATAACCAGGTATCTTGCCTTACCCCCCAGGTTTTTCAACTTTGGTGCTACTGCCATTTGGGGCCATGTAGTTTTTTGTTGGGGAGAGCAATGTAGGATATTATTCTGTGCACTGTAGGATATTTAGCAGCATCTCTGGCTTCTCTCCACTGGTTTCTAGAGGCACTCCCCATCTCCACCAACTGTGACAACTAAAAATGTCTCCAGATATTGCCAGATGATCCCTGGGGTCAAAATAGTCTTAGATCGAGAACCACTCTCGTACCCTTCGGGACATAATATACCCTTGGATCCCTCCTAAGTGTGCATTGATCTGTCTTCTCTCCTCTCTCTCCTTCTTCTAGTTCTCATTCCTTTTTTCTTCCTTCCCCCTTCTCTTATTTATTCTCCTCCTTCTCCAGACGTCTTTCTGGGACTTTCAGGCCCCCCCTCTCTTTTGATCTTTCCCCACCATCCACACTGGTTAATAGATTTACTTATCAAATCCAGCAAGGCTGCTTATAGTCACTTTTCATAGACTTTTCTCTTGCTGACTATTGTCATTCTCCTGCTGGCCTCCTCTGACTGTCTGGGAAGGAGTCCTTCAACACTTCCAACTTTGAAACCCACTATTGAACACCCAGATTACCTGTTTCTTCCACGTTCCAGACTTTTTGTCTTTCTTGGCCGTGGTGGTACTCAATGCCCCAAATGTTCTTATTCTTGGCAGAAATATATTCTGACCTATAAGCCAGTAAAGAAGGACAATGAATATACACACTGTATCTTTTTCATTCTCTATAACCTTTGGGGTACTTTTTATGAATGGTAGTAAGTTCTATAAGCACATGGTGAAATTCAGATACATTTGGTCTTAAATTATATATGGGTTCCCTAAAGACTCACCTACAAAAAGTTTTTAAAAGTGTGTCTTAAAGAATGAATGCCTAGAATATATAAAGAACTCTCAAAAGTAAGAATCCAATTAGGAAGTGAGTGAAAGACATGGACGAATATTTTACCATAGATGAGATATAGGTGACAAATAAACACTCGAAAAGACGTTGACCATCTGTTCCCTGTTAGGGAAATGGAAATAAAAACCAGTGAGTTGTCACTGTATACCACATACCTATCAGAAGGGCTAAAATGACAATACCAAATGCTAGAGAGGAGGTAGAGAAATTAGATCATTCATACCTTGCTGATGGAAATGTAAAATGGTACAGCCACATTAAAAAGGAGTATGGCAGGTTTTGTTTTTGTTTTTTTTTAATAAGAATAAACATCTGTTTACCATACAATACAGTGGTTTCATTCTTGGCCATTTATCCTAGAGAAACGAAAACTTACATTCCTCTAAAAATTTGTACACGAATAGCAGATAGCAGCTTTACTTGTAACAGCCAAGAGCTGGAAACAACCCAGGTATCCCTCAACTGGTGAATGGTTAAGCAATCTGTGATCCATACCTACCATGGAATATGACTCAACAATAAAGAGGAACTGACTGTTGAAACACACAAGTGGATGGACCTTCAGGAAATCATGCTGAGTGAAAAAAAAGCTAATCTCTAAAGGTTATATACTGTGTGCATGATTCCATTTATATAACATTCTTTTTTTTTTTTTTTAAGATTTTATTTATTTGACAGAGAAGAGACACAGCAAGAGAGGGAACACAAGCAGGGGGAGTGGGAGAGGGAGAAACAGGCTTCCCACAAGCAGAGAGCCCAATATGGGGCTCGATCCCAGAACCCTGGGATCATGACCTGAGCCGAAGGCAGATGCTTAATGACTGAGCCACCCAGGCGCCCCTATATAATATTCTTAAAATGACAAAAATTATAGAGATGGAAAAGAGATGAGTGATGGCCAGGGCTCAAGCAGATGGGAAGGGAGGAAGGTGCCTCGGCTAAGGCTATGACAGGATTAACCCAAAGGACTGTTGTGTTGGAGCTCTTTTGCACATTAATGGTGTCGGTGTTCACTCTTATCTACAGACGTGACGCCGCCGCACAGAACTGAATGTGCACGAGCACGCATACACACAAACGAGTGCGTTGGAAATTGGCAGAACCTGAATCACTTCTGTGGGATGTATCCCTGTTCATTTCCTGGTTGTGCTCAGGAACTCTGGTTATGCAAGATAATCACAATTGAGGGGAAATAGGGTGAAGGATATAGGGATCTCTCCATATTATTTCTTCCAACTGCATGGGACTCTACAAAGATCTCACTACAAAAAGGTAAAAACAGAAGTGTGTCTACCTTTATGGCACTACTAGAGGAATTCAAAGATTTCTGTTTGGTCCTACCCTGCCTTTAGCGGAGTGCAAATACCAGTTCCAGGCTTGGGGAGAATGCGACCTGAATACCGCCTTGAAGACCAGAACTGGAAGTCTGAAGCGAGCCCTCCACAACGCCGACTGCCAGAAGACAGTCACCATCTCCAAGCCCTGTGGCAAGCTGACTAAGCCCAAACCTCAAGGTAGGTTCCTGTCATTATACCACAGTTTTCAGGTGCAAATGTTGATGGACTCACGCAGGATCTTCACATGTGGAAACTCGAATTTTCTGGAAGGAAATCTTAGGTGAATTACCTTAAGAGAGGGATTGAACAAGCCCTGTATGTTGAGCATCACACCAGTGCTTTTAAGCAGGCAATTGATGAGTTCAAATTAGAGTCCTCTGCACAGATGGGGCGTGGGGGCGGGGATTGGAACAGTCTCCTCGCACAAATAAACAACTTAGCAGAACAGGCCAATTAAGACAGTTGTTGTAGGGTGACTGTATATTCCAAGCCCTAAACTGGGACTGCATCCTGACAAGTAGGAACAAATTTATGAAGATCATGAGGCAGAAAATCTAAAATCAGGTCTCTCCTAGACTATCCAACAAACATAGTTTTCATGAAGTCAGCTACATTATTTTACATTTTTCCTTTCTCCACTGCATAAATTGATAGGTCCTATATTTCTTCCACTTCTTTCAGCCTATATATATATATATATATATATAGTTGTTGTTAGCTTTTTTACCAACTACATTCATCATGGAATTTTCAAATTATGTAGAGCTGTCTTTCTGTTCATTCCCAGAAAGTTACACTCTGCTCTCCTGCCAGAGAAAGGGAACCAAAAACAAATAGCATGGCTGTGGTTTCATAGAGATAGGATCCCAGCTGAGGGAAGACAAGGAGGTCTTACACTCTTATTTCATGGGTGTTATGGGCTGAATGGTGTTAAACCACCACCACCCCCCCAGTTCAAATGTTGATGTTCTAACCCTTAGTACCTCAGAATGTGACTGTGTTTGGAGATAAGGCTTTTAAAGAGGTCATTAAAGTGAAATGAAGTAGTATGAGTGGGTCCCAGGCCAATCTGGCATATAAAGAAAGGAGATTAGGACCCAGATACATGCAGGGGGAAGACCATATGAACACATAGCGAGAAGATGGTCATCGACAAGCCAACAGGACCCACCTAAGAATAAATGAACCCTGCTGACAGTTGATCTTAGATTTCTGGCCTCTAGAACTCTGAGAAAGTAAATTCCTGCTGTTGAAGCGATCTGCTCTGTTGTATGGGGCATGGCAGCTCTTGCAAATAAATACGGGACTGGAAAATCCATACTGTCCAGATTAAATATAAGGAGAAACTCAGAAAAAAAAAAATGAACGTGAAGCCTACAGTAAATGAAAATAGGGAAAAAAATACCTCCAGAAGTCAGAAGGATAGGCTGGCTTGCTGCTGATAGTCAGAAAGGACTCATTTCATGGACGAAGCTCTTCAGTCTCTGATGGAGTTGTCCATGGACATGGTTGCCCCCAACGGTAGGGTGGCCAGATGCAGGCTAGACCTGCAGATGGCACATCGAGGATTCAGGCTGCCCTTTTCAGATCACGGAAATCTGCTGGTTGCAGTGTGTATCTGGAAGGCATGAAGTGGGGTCAGTATATGAATGTATGGGCCAACTTTATAAGTATTACTTGTCTGAAGACAACCATACAGATCTAATGAAAATTAGCGGCCATATCCATCCAGTGAGACATTTCCAAAACTGGAAGAACTCAGAGATACACAGTTTTCAAATTAATTTATTTTTCAGCCAGTCAGAGAACCAAAATATTCAGCATAAATAGAGCATGGAAAAGAAAAGGAATTGAAGAAGTCCCCATGCTCTACCACAGTGGTTCTCAACCTGGGCTGCAAATTAGAATTTCCTGTGAGAACTTCTAAAAATCCCAGTACCCAGGCATAATCCAGACCAACTGTCTCAGCCTCCGTAGCTTTGAAAATTAAGATGTTCCTTAAAAGATTTCAGTCTCAGCCAGAATCAAGAATTGCTGTGCTAGTATGAAACTCAGAGAGACCACACACACATACACGCATGCATGCGTGCATACACGTGTACACAGTCTGTTCTGCTTCTCTCCAGTGGGTGAGAGAAACTGCAGTCTAATGAAGGAGGAGGAAAAAATAAGAGCGGGATTAGGCGGTGGGTAGTGGTAGGGCTAGATGGATACGGAAAGTGTTGAAAAGTTTGGAATAAATAGGACAAAGTGGGGACATAATTCAGAAGGAGACTTCAGGGTATTTGGTGAAGACATTAAGTGAGGATTTCTTTTGACCTGGTCCAGCAGATAGTTGGCTTTTTACATTTTCTCATCTGGTAATATGTAATGAAGGTTATAAGTTTGGTCAGGCTTTCACCTTGAAAAATGGTGGTAAAAATATTTCAAGTGGGTAAACATTCTGTCATTTGTTTCTGTATCAGAAATTATGGTATATAATTAATTGAAAATGGGATTAGCCGGAGTGAGTTCTGTATTTCACAGCACTAGGTAAAGCCCAACACCGTGTGCAAAGGTGACTTCCAAGTGGAAGACACTTTCTAGAGCATGATTTCTTTTTTAGAAGTTTTAATTCCAGTGACATACAGTGTTATATTAGTTTTCAGAGTATAATACAGGGATTTAGGAATTCTGTATATTCCTCAGGACTCATCACGACAAGTGTACTCTTATTCCCCTTTACCTATTTCCCCCATCCCCCCCTCACCTCCCCTCTGGTAACCAGTTTGTTTTCTATAGTCAAGAGTTTGTTTCTTGGTTTGCCTCTTCTTTTTCCCTTTGTTTTGTTTCTTAAATTGCACATATGAGTGAAATCATATGGTATTTGTCTTTCTCTGACTTATTTTGCTTAGCATTGTACTCTAGATCCATGTACATCATTGCAAATGGCAAGATTTCATTCTTTTTAATGGCTGAATAATATTCTGTTGTGTATCTGTACCATATCTTCTTCATCCACTCATCAATTGGATGGACACTTGTGCCGCTTCCATAATTTGGCTATTATAAATCAGGTTGCAGTAAACATAGGGGTATATATATCCTTTTGAATTAGTGTTTTTGTATTTTTTGGGCAAATACCCAGTAGTGCAATTACTGAATCTTAGGGTAGTTCTAGTTTTAACTTTTTGAGGAACCTCCATACTGTTTTCCAGAGTGGCCACACCAGTTTGCATTCCCACCAACAGTGCACGAATGTTCCTTTTTCTCCACATCATCACCAACACTTGTTGTTTCTTGTGTTTCTGATTTTAGCCATTCTGACAGGTGTGAGGTGATAATCTCATTGTGGTTTTGATTTGCATTTCCGGATGGTGAGTGATGTTGCCCATCTTTTCATGTGTCTGTTGGCCATCTGGATGTCTTCTTTGGAGAACTGTCTGTTCATGTCTTCTCATTTTTTACGGATTATTTGGGTTTTTGGCATTCAGTTGTAGAAGTTCTGTATATATTTTGGATACTAACCCTTCATTGGATATGTCATTTGCAAATATCTTCTGCCATTCAGTGAGTTGTCTTAATTTCATTGATTCCCTTGTGTGCAGAATCTTTTTATCTTGATGTTGTCCTAATAGTTTATTTTCACTTTTGTTTCCTTTGCCTTAGGATACGTATCTAGAAAAATGTTGTTATGACTGATGTCAGAGAAATTACTGCCTGTGCTCTCTCGAATATTATTTCTAAAACTGTTCTGGAAGACATCTACCAGAGTGTAAGTTTCAGGAGGACAGGGACCTGACCTGTGCTGTTCTCTACTGTATCCCTTTTGCTTGGAACAAGGGGTAGCACATAGTAGGTGCTGAATGTGTATAAAAAATAAATGCTAAAAGAAAAAAGGTTTCACACATTAAATTTATCATAGGCTGGTGGAAGCTGCAGTAAAGAAGTCATTTAAGTAATATTTTCATACAGTTACACAATTATAAATTATTTTTTCCCTTTCTTCAGGAAAGAATAACTCATCAGGTCTTCCTGCTACTTTAACTCAGGAAAGAGGGAGGTAGGGAACCCACTAATTTTGAGTCAGGCACTATGATATGATAGGCACTCCTCATTTCAGCTTTAAAGCAACTCTGTGCACTAAATTGTATTTATCTTACTTTGTATTTGAGAAAGCACAGGCCCAGAGAGGGTAAGCAACTTGTCTAACGTTTCACAGCTTGTAAGTGGTGATTCAGATTCAGAGTCAGACTGACAGCAAAGACCCGCTGCCATTTCTATTGCATCGTGCTGCGTCTGGGTATTATACACCCATGAAGCTTTGGCCATGTTAGATAAGTCTCGATGTCTAGAATCATTAAATAGTAGAGCTTCTGGGGAACTTGCTTGTCATCTGATGTAACCCTGATGGAATAGATGAGGACAGAGAACATCAGTGATTCATCTAAATCCATCCTGTTGTTTAGGAGCAGAATCAGTTCTGGGCTTTGTCTTTCAGTGCCATTTTCTGCCTTCTTAACCCAGTCCCTGAGCTCATAGCCAGAAAGTACCTTTTCGCCTTCCATCATCATCCTTCTCATCAAACACAGCATCAGGTTCTGGTCTTTTGTCTTTTTCTTTTTTTTTACATGTTTGTTTTATACATCTTTTTGGTTTGATTTCTGTCCTCTTTTGTTTTGGAAAATGGTAATGGCTTAATATGCAAATGACATAACGTTTGGTGTGGAAAAGATGCTCTTTAAATTTTAGAATGGAGGGCGCCTGGGTGGCTCAGTTGGTTAAGCGACTGCCTTCGGCTCAGGTCATGATCCTGGAGTCCCTGGATCGAGTCCCGCATCGGGCTCCCTGCTCG